GGTTGTCGGTAATCTAGTGTTTAGGGTGCGAAAATGCGTGCTATAACATGGAATACGATACAAACCGAAGGGTCTTTCGGGGGAAGGGTTGGACAATGTCTTCGGAAGTCTCACATTTAAGAACGATCTCTAAGACCCAGGTTTCCTCTCTTCACGGAAAACCGATACATCTAATATCATGAATTCAATTTGAGATCCTCTTCGGGTTGGCGTCAACCTGTGATTCAGAAAACGTTTGTAGTGCCTAAAACCGCTGTTGGAAGATCTGACCCACGCTACATTAAAATTACTAACATTTATGTCCATTGAGAGAAGTAGTAAAAGCCGAACAAGTTTGCCACCATATAAGCAAGAGAGGCGTTAACCGATAGAAAAGACTGTATAACGGAATTAATGTTGGCGGTCGGCATCCGGTTCATGAAAACAGACAGTAAGCAAGGTTCTGTTGAGAGCACTGACGCAAAGCCTACCGACTGTTCGCATGAATCAGGATTGGCAGCCATAATTAGAGGTAATTTCACCAACTCAAGCCTACTAGGAGGCATAGTTAGAGTTTAAATGGTCTGTCAAAGATTCCCAGGGTGACCCGGCAGATGCGACTGAACATGGCATACACAACTCTCTCAACCTTGAACTAACAAAATGACTGACATATAAATTTACATCGATTCAGCACGAATTACGCTGGCTACCGAAAAATGCTGCATCTCAGCAGTGAACTTGGTGATGTATGCCGCAAAGAGTGACGGCATCTTTCTTGCGTATTTCGTTGCTCGTCACCGGTATGCACGTGATAGAGGTAATTTCTAAAAATAGTTACGTTAAAACAGGCACTCCAAATCGCCTACGGTGCTTCCTGGAACTCGCATATTCTCTTGTGTTGTCAATCACCTACGGTAGTTGCTAAAAGTACCCCTACTGATACGCATTACCGACAAAGTCAACGGAGACTAGAATGGCCATTTCTGACTTCTTAGTCGTCATTAGCTAGCCACACTCAACCCCAGGTGATGCGTCACCCGAGGTTTGGAGCAGTACCCTGTTGATTAGAAATCCAAGGCTCTAACCATTGGTGATCTGCCTATCATACT